GAGAGAGTGAGAGAGTGAGAGAGTGAGAGAGGGAAGAGCATGCGAGACTGCTTAAAAGGGTCGTGCGCACGCTCGCTGAGAGCAACAAAGCGAAACAGCTGCCGATAACACATGAGAGAATTGGAGGGAGTGAAAGATGGAAAATACAAAGAGAAAGAGAAAGAGAAAGAATCGAGAGGGGGAGGCGGGGAGGGGGAAGATGGCGGCGAGGGAACGGGGAAAGGGAAAAACAGGAGACTAGATAATAGTTGGCAATAAGATGACAGGCACCGAATGACGCTTGGTCTGTTGACTTTCCTTGCGTGTATGATATTATATTCCTGTCTGCTTGTGGCTACATAAATGCGCGTGTCGCTCCGTTCCATATAACTCGCTAACAGTCCGCAAAAATTCGCGGATCAGCAACGATCTGCAACAATAATAAAAAAATCTCTGTGGAACTCATGCGCACGAGTAAATTCTGTGAAAGTCCACACTCCACACTTCACACACCAACAGTGCCGTACGCACGCCCGGGAGTAACACACGCGCCAATAATATATATACATACGCAGAGAGAGAGAGAGAGAGAGAGAGAGAGAGAGAGAGAGAGAGAGAGAGAGAGAGAGAGAGAGCGGGGGAGAGAGAGAGCATGCATTGCATGCTTAGACGGTCACAGACCGTATTCGCGTGTGCCAAAGAGAGAGAGAGAGAGAGAGAGAGAGAGAGAGAGAGAGGAAGAAAGAGCTGGAGGGAAATAAAAGTACAGTGACTGCATATAGATAAAGCAGCGGCAGTCATCGCAGGGCAGAGGAAGGAGGAAGTCTGTATGCGGAACGACGACAGCGACGGTGGAGTGTGAGAAGAGACGAGCACGACGACGTCGAGGAGTGCGATGAGCAGAGGTGCCTGAGAAAATTGACGGGCGTTTTCTCGTCGTGGGGAGTGAAATAAGATAAAAAAAACGAGAAAGAGAGGAGCGAAAAACAAGTGGTGTGTATGCAGGTGCTGGACGTTTTTATCCACATTGCTGCCTCCCTCGTTTTTTTGTTTTCTTTTTGTTTTTTTTTTTTGCTTTTTCTTTTATTTCGAAATATCCTCGATTTTTATTCACGCACCACCGACCATTTCTGCACAAGTGTTTGCATATACGTGTGAATAAATTTTTATATTGCCGAGTGCGACCCGCTGATTTGACATTCGATGCTTTTTCGAGGAGGATCAACCTCAAGGATTTTCAAGTATTGCGAATGCATTGCGAAACAGAATTCTCAAACACTCGACCGATTCTTGTGAAATTCCCATTTAAATGAAAGTAAGGGCGTTTATTAAAAAAAATTCTTCGATTTATATATGAGAGGCATCCGCACCGTTACGTTAAATTTATTATTGTTTTGAATTTTTAATAACATCAGTGCACGTATACGAGCAGTTAGTAAATATGATTTTTTATATTGTTTGACAGGGATGAGTGTTTTCGGTGATTTCCAACGGGTTTGGGTGGAAAGGTTCCCGGACAGCGCTTTACCTGCTGCATGGGAAGAGGATGTAAGAGCAAATTTGGTTAAACATAAATTGAAGGTATTTTTTCATGATGTTTCCTCTTATTTTGCAACGATACCTATGATTTACTTTTCTCTTAAAATGAAATAATTGGAAATATAATTATTACATTAACACAAATCATCAAAGGTATATACATACATATATATATATATATATATATATATATATCTTTGATGTACACACACACACACACACACACACACACGTATATATATACCTATTATGAAACATTTACCAATTAGAATATTCACATCAAAGATCAAATTTATGAGTATTAATTTTTATCATAATTATAAAGTATTTAAAAAAAGAATGAATGAGACCTCTATTGCAGTTAAAAGCAAGAGGTACTGTTTAATTTTGTGGGTTACTTGCAAGGATGATTCATCGGCTTTGATAGCAGCTTTAATTGGGCGGTGGCACTGTTTATAAGTACCGGAGCTAATGATATAATTGTCATTTTATATTTGGAATATTTAAATTTCATGTTTGTGTGTGTGTGTGGGGGCGTGTGGGAGGGGGGCGTGCGCGTTTATTGCACCTAGTTAAGATTTTATATTTTGAAATGACAAAATAATTTATTTACAAAATTAATTTTAATAATTGCTTATAAATATCTTAAAAACTAGAATTATTTAATTATAGAAAAACTAGAATTATTTATAAATTTGTAAAATATTAAAACTTAAAAATTTTGGATCACTTACATATATTACAAACACATTTTTAACATACAATTATTGTATTCATTGGTAATGCAATAAAAGTCACTTGTTAACTGTAAATTTAGATAATAAAATTTATGAAATTTTATCTCAGATTGTTAATAATATTATTATTGTAATGTATTAGTAATTAGATAATAATATTAACTATTATGTCCTTAATGAAACCATATTTTTGATATACGTTATTTTAATAGTGTTATTTTTCAATTTGTAAAATTGTATAACCTTCATTAAATTTATAATGGATTTGAATATTTTATTACCAAAAATAGACTAATGTATAAATATTCATTTTTAGGTAACTGTACTCAGGGAAGAGCTTGAAAAGGAAGAATTTTACGTTGAATACTTAGAGAGACTTTTAGCGGATGTTGAAAGACATAAACTAGCAAATGCATCATCATTGTCAGAATCTAAAGCATCGGGTACCGATTCTCCGAACCAACAGAGTTTTCATTCGGCGGAAACAAGTGTTTTAAACTCTACAACTCATTCCGAAGAAACTGAAGATTCAGCTCCACCTCTCCCTGCACGCGAAGACCTCAGTAAATTACAAGATAAGTGTGTGAACGAATTAAGTTCAACATTAAGTTCAAGTAGGCGACCAAAAAGTGAAATACCAAGAAGTCCTGAGAAAGTGCCTGAATGTAGGAGAAACAGTGATCCAGATGTTCCAAGTAATTATATCACTGTCATCCAAGTAACGGGTAATTCAAAAAAGGATAAAAATGAAGATTCAGTGAAAGAAGAGGACGAAAAGAGTTCTGAAAAAACAGTTGAAGATGCAGAAGATGGTGATGCTGAAGCATCAGAAGAAGAACCTTATTATGATTCGGTAGCCCTTGATCAAACTGGAGAATATGTATATATAGAAGCACACGCTCCTGCAGTTGGTAACAATGAAGCTAAAGTACAATTGCGAAGGCCACCTTCGCTACCGGACTCACCAGGAAATCAAAGCAATTATGTCAACATCGATTATTTTATTCAGTAAGATAATATATGTCTCAAAAATTTTGTTAATTATTAGCTTAAAAAATGATGTTTTATTAACTCTGTTTAATTATGTATTAGAATGGCAAATATTAGTGCCACGTAAAGAAAGATTTATATTACATATTATAAATAAAATAGATTTAATGTGAATTTTCATTTTCAGGCATCGAGCCGCAATGGATAGCGAAGATGAGGAAAATCCAGCTCCACCTATTCTGTTACGTACCCTAAGTACTGATAATGAAACTGGAAGTAGCGACGCCGAGCCTTTAAGTTTGAGCGAAGGTAGTTTAGAATCACCAACTCCGACAACACCTAGACGACAAGAAAAGGGCAAAAGCCAAGACGATGATAGAAATTCGATGGTTAAATGCATTATTAATTCTGTAGTGGAAAGTGAGGCTATATATGTTGAATGCTTGGATGTTATGATACAGGTACAATTTTTTGTGATTTCATAATCATCTTAAATAATAAAATCTTAAAATTTAACTGATTTTCAAGATAATTGTAATGACTTTAAAAAATGTTCAAATATGTGAAATATTTCATTAAAAATGTATTTATTCATTAGTAATTTATGAAATATATTGTAGTATATGAAAGCCATCAATGCCACAGTGAACACATCGCAGCCTGTCATCTCTCAAGAAGATTTTAATACCATATTTTACAAGATTCCTGACTTGCATAGGCTACACCAAGAATTTCTGGACGATCTGCGGCGAAAGCTCGATAGTTGGGATAATAAAACAACAATCGGAGAACAATTTAAGGTGGGAAATGCCGTCTTTTGGAAATAGTATTTTAATTAATATAATTAACCAAAACCATATTAAGAACATGAAAATTGCCTTAATTGTGCAGATAATGGCAAGCAAAATACGAGACTACGGCGCTTTCCTTCACAATTATGCACGAGCTACGGACACGGTGCGCCGATGTTCGTCACAATCTTCGCAATTTGCTGAAATCACAAGGGATATAAGGTTAAGAGGCTACCCAAAGGGACCAGGGTTGTCCCTTGAGGATCTCTTACACAAACCCGTTGCTCGTGTTCAAAAGAATGCACTAGTGTTACATGTAATTATTATTGTTTTAAAAATATAGTTGAACAAGCCTTAATACTTAAATGCTGATACAATAATTTTCTTTTTATCAACTAGGATTTACTAAAGCACACGCCGCAGAGTCACGCGGATCATGCGCCTCTTTCAGAAGCATTGGCCATGACACGTAACTTCCTCGATGAATTTAATATTATACAAACAAAGTCTATGTTTAAGGTAAAATATTAAGATAAGAATGATTGTTGATAAACAAAAGACTCAAATCACATAGAAAGATTACAATTTAAAACTACCACAATTATCTGTAATTAAATTGAGAATATAGTACAAGTATACATTCTAAATGTATAGGTAATTTTATGATGATTTTAAAGTGACGTGTAAACAATTTATTTTACAGAGTCATGATAGAGCTCAAAGAAGACTCGTGAAAAATTCATTTGTCGTAGAGCTATCGGATGGTCACAGAAAATTGAGGCATTTATTTCTTTTTAATGATGTAATTTCGTGCGCTAAGTATAAGGCATCTGGGAAAGATAAATTTACCTTCGAATTGAAGTGGTTTATTCCCATGACAGAGGTTGTTGTTATGGAAGATGGTATCGAACCTCGGGAGAATAGTCCAGCAAATGTAGTAGTATTAAGGTATGAGACATAAAATTTATCATATTTATATTGTATGCTATACTTGCCAAATTATTAAGAAGTGTTTTAAAAAATATTGTAGATCACAAGCTTGTATAGTTAGAGATCAGATTTTATGGGAGGAAAAGAATGACGATAAAAGAATTCGACTAGGTAGTAGAGGTTCTGAGAAAAATAGAAAAAAATTAGCTGAGCTGGAGGCACAATTGGTTTTAGCTTCTCCAAATTTGATTCTTAAAGTTGGTCAAAAAAATCAAAATCGTATTCAGAATTCATACACATTTTTCCTATCAAGCGAATTTGAAAGATCTCAATGGATCGAAGCTATCGAAGCTTTGCAACAGGTAACAATTTATACGCTTATGTATGTAACTCAAGTGTAATATAAAATATAAGATATAATATTATGAAATATGTTGGTTTTTGGTATGTTAATTAGACGGAAAAAAAAAAAAATAAATAAATAAAATTTCTTTTATAAATCAGCTGCATTGCATTTTAAAATTTCACTTGATATGTTCTACTTGTTCTCACATTTTTAATTGAATGGAAAAAAGAAGCTGTAAGCATATTATCATCCTAACAAGCCAAACCACATTAAAAAAAAAAAAAAAACGAAAAAAAATAAATAAATAAATCAATAAATCAATTGTAAATTAACAAATTTCTCTTACATCGAATTAAAACTAACTTTTCACTATCATAAAACGAATTAGGGTGGCCAGCCACCTGGACCATTGCCACTCAACATGTATGATTTGAAAGCATGGATAGCAGCATGTCGAACTTATTTACAAACTGATATGGGTAGTTATTTGCTACGTTCCGGTCGAGACGAAAGTTTATTATTAGGCGATTTGCAACTCACTTTGTTGGGACTTACGCCACCTGGTCTGGATAGACCTGGCGACCTTTACATAGTTATAGAAGTTGACAGTTATGGACATTACTTTAAAAGGGCAAAAAGCCACATAACTAGAGGTGAAGCACCTACTTGGGGTATGTTAATGAAAATGTTAATAAATAAACTAAACGTATAGCTTATTAAAAAAAAAAAAAAAAAAAAAAAACCACGATTCAAGTGGCACATGAATCACATCGTACTTACAACAAAACACACGACAATTAATAAATAAAAACTCTTCCACTAATCCTTTACACAGTAAAATAGAAAATTAACGTACATATAAGTCATTTCTAACTAAGATGACAAAATTGTGAATCTATGAGAAATAAAAGAAATTGTTTTGCAGGTCAAACTTTTGTCGTCGAATTGGAAGGAAGTCAAAATGTTCGAATACTGCTTTACGAAGAATGTGGATCACGTTCAGTATTAAGAGGAAAGTGCGCTCAGCGTTTGAGCAGATCGTGGTTACTCGGTGATCAAGTCAAGAGATCGTTAAATTTGGGCCCCGCTAGTCTGGACGTCTCCCTCAAATTCATTCCAAGCGAAGTTACTTTACGACGAGTACCTTCCGCCAAACCACAAGGTCTATTCGGAGCAAAAATACAGCAAGTATGCAAGTAAGTAGTTTTTTTTATAATTCACAAAGTAAATACACTTTATGACTTGAGCAGAGCGTGATAAATGATAAACGTATAAATTTCATATTAAATTATTTTGAAATTATTCTACATGATGATATTGAACATTTTTAAAATAAAATTAATCGCGGATGAATAATTTGTTAAACATGTCCTCTATATTCCATGACTCTATAGATTATACAGATGTATAATTAAAAGATTTGTTCAATGTACAAATCAATATAACAAAAGTAATTCACGTACTTTAGGCGAGAAAAACGTGATGTACCATTCATCGTAACGGCTTGTGTACGCGAAGTTGAAAAGCGAGGAATGGCAGAGGTAGGACTTTATCGAGTTTCAGGCTCTGCCTCGGATGTAGCAAAATTACGTAAATCCTTCGAAAGTAATTCATACGAAGCCGAACAATTATTAAAAGAGGTAAGCTTATTATTTTACATATCACTAATACGAGATTAATAATTTTAACGAAGTCCAATCAAATTGTATTGAATAATTCAATGCTTTAATAGTCAAAATATAATCGGGTTTATATCATTTAAATTATTTCCAAGTACAAAGATATATTAAACTACTTTTTAATAGAATTATTTTTCAATTGTATTTTCAATTTGCACTATACTTTTCTAAAACAAAGCTTCACAAATCATCTAATAAGATAAATACATTATTAATTTTTGTTACAAGTAAGAAAATCCAATGATAAATTAACTCTAATTATTAAAATGAACTCTTTTTATTTAGGGGAAAAATTACTAAAATGAAAAAAATGAAAAAAAAAAAATGTGTAAAACATTTGGGCATTTATTGAATTAACACAGGTATTTTAGTCATCATCTATAAATATTTATACAAAGACTTGTTATAAAAATAAAATATAATAATCAATCGACAATTTTTATGCATTAAAGAAACAACGGGAATTCCTTCTCATCCACGTGGTCCAAGTGTCATTAAACATATTATTTGATTCCAGGTGGACGTGCACTCGGTAACCGGAGTACTAAAGCTTTATCTACGCGAGATGCCCGAGGCCCTGTTCACGGACGCCCTATACCCAGCCTTTCTCGACGCCTTTCAAAATGGCGAACTGTGGCGAGGCAGTGCCCTTCGACGCGTCTACGACGGGCTGCCCCAAGTTAACAAGGCGGTAATCGACTTCCTCCTTTCGCACCTCGTGCGCGTTAACAAGCACGAGGCCCAGAACAAGATGTCCCTACACAACCTCGCGACCGTCTTCGGACCGACACTCTTGCGACCCGGCACGAGTAGCCGCGCCGATCCGAAGAATCGCGATCCCTTGGCCGCGGGCACCGTGGACGTCATGGCCCAGGCTGGCATTCTTTATTGTTTTCTGCAAATGCAGTTACTCCAGAATAATCAATCATCACTCTAGTCGACGCGTGTAACAATCGTCTTTTTTGTTGTTGTGTTTTCTGCTCCTTTTTTTTTTTTTTTCATTTTTTTTTTCATTTTATAGAAAGGTGTATTTGAATAAGAAGTATCGAATACTGGCTGATATACCGGGAAAATATCATTCGGAATATTCTAGTTTTGTTCTAATTTACGACTGCGTAGTTTCCATGGCGTTGACGACGACCCTTTGAGATACGCCGCGGATAAGCAAATACGGGAGACGCGAGAACAGCGCGATGCTCATCCAATCTTGTCAATTCGTGTAGTACCATTTGGTAGGATGGTAATTGTCAGTTGAAAATGAATGAAAGAAAGAAAAAAATTAGATAGATCCTTTGGACAAATTTTTTCGACAAATTTTTTCGACAAATTTTTCAAACTCGGACAGGTAAAAGATTTGTTCGTTTAAACTGGCTGAAGTAGTTGAATATACGTGTGAGATGGCCGCGTAAAATATAAACGTAGTTTCGAGCATTATTTTAGAGATACTTTTATTATGGAAGCAATGATCGATAACTTTGCTCGACAATATATATATATATATATATATATATATGAGTCTGATGTACACAAGTAAATGCGACGCGACAAGTCTCGATTCACTCTCGTGCAATCCATAAACGTTTCATTGTACAATATTGTTTATTGTTTAGTTGCTGTTGCCAGTAAGTATTTTAGCGTAGAAACAATACGTGTTAATTAAATCGTCTCCTATTGATAAAGTAGTCATCTATCCGTCTAGCTCACTTTAACTTCATTTGAAGATTTCATTTTTCTACTTGCAGGAAAAGTAAAAAGTATATTATATTGCCTCCGTCTCGACTACTTTATCTATGGAGATAATCGCGTCTACGACTCTCATTTACCGGATGATATTTACCATTTGTGCCCATGTAAACGAAACCATTGCGTTGTATGTCACAACCTGAGTTTTGGTTATAAAAACCTTGGCTGCGCTTTTACGCATTTGCTCTCATCCTAGAGACTTCACCATTCTGTATTAAAACATGTGATTGGCTTGATCTTAAATCAATTAGTTTTGTTTCGTTTTAGAAATAGTTAGCGTATATTTAATTTTGTAAATCGAGAAATTCTTAACGTCATTAAGAATTTTATAAAGATTTTTTGTATATTTGATTTTCAATGATGTATGTAAGTGATTTTCAAAGAAATCTAGTAAGTATGATATAACATTAGGCTGTTAATCGATGTTTCTTTCAAAACACAAACAAAACAAAATTAAAAAAAATACACGATAAGAGACTAAAAAGAAAGAAAAAAAATGTATAAATTGAAACGTTATCTATGAAACGGATCTTTGAAAGACAATTATTTTAATGACAGCTGAGACAAAACTTTAAAGTACTTTCATATGCTTCAGATCTTCAATATTAAACTTTTTTCTATAAATTATAATGCACTGATTATTCGAGATAAGGATAATCATACTGGCTGTGTGAGGCCTTTATTGAGTTTTTTTTTTAAATCGATGTTTATTTTTACTTTCAATTTATAATTTACGAAGTAGGTACTGCTAGTGAAAACATGCTCTGCGCATTTAAAATATATCCATCTCAAAACCGACGAAGGGTATCCGTATCCATCCCCTCTACTTTATTCAATCTTAAAATAATACCTTCGAGTTCATTCTATAATGTGTATTTTTTTATAGTCTGCGCAGGAAAATTTAGCAGCTTGGACCGAATTAGGAAACCGTAAAAAAAATTGTTCGATGAGTAAGATATTGCGTGGACGAAATTCGCACTCATTCTCAAAGTGATATATTTTATACTTCGTGATTGTATACCGTTTATATTAAAAAGAGAAAGACATCGGGGAATTAATACTTCTATATTAAAAAGAAAATAAATTATGAGAATAGTAAAAGAAGAATCGCGCGAACTTGTTCCTACGGAAAAAGAAAACCGATTGATCCTCTTCGCGTATTCTTCTTCATGTCAGTCGCTAATATAGAGAGTCACTCGATCACTTTTGAATAATCAAATGTTGTTCCTTAAAATTAATAGAAAAATCATGTCGTCTTAAAATGAAAATATACACGTAGATCCTAAAATCACGTAAATCGCTCACAATTAAAAGTATCTAAATCATTAAATTAATTTTCATTTGCTACACTATACAATGCATTTGGATCGTAATCATCAATGCATTATTAAACTCATTCAAATTTAAACTTCTTAAGATTTTAAATAATTGTTCCTTCAAAACGACTAATGAAAAATCGTCCAATCCATTCATCTACAAAGCATCCGATTCTCTTCCAAAGGAAAAATTCTTCTTGTCACTCGGTTAAACGGCGATTGAGCAGGACAGTTAAAAACAGTCGCGGGCATTTTTCGTGTACTTCGTGAAATTATTAATCAATTGACATATTAATGCCATATTTTTAATATGAAAACCTTTGGTAAATATATTGAATAGCGTAGAATTGACATTAAACTTCTCATCATTATTTAAGTATTTTTGCGAACAGATATAAGAACTATGAAAATCTAAATTATTCTTATGCTTAGAAGCAATATTGGGAGGATCAAATTACATTAGAAAAAAAATAAATAAATAAATAAAAATATAATAAATTTAATAAATAACAAAAAATTATCATGAATAAATTATATAACTATTATTATTTTATTGTTACGCAGTTCTATGAAAGTTGTAAATCAAAAAAAAACAAAAACAAAAACAAAAGTGTACAATAGCCATTAGATAATCATTTATTTAAAAAATTAACATTATCGCAGACGAAACATTTTGTCGCAATGATTGAAATGATACAATTATTACAATTATACAATAATTAAAATTAAACAATCGCAAAATTATCGTTAAATTTTTCTAAGACATGTAACTCCAATACGAAGATTAAAAATAAATAAAGCAGTGCCTGTTTCAAAAAATGACGAAATGTGCCCATGCCTGTCCTAAAGATAAACGCGACGCCAAAGAGAAAGTTGATGCCTGTGCGTATAGCGCAGGGAAATCATGCGAACTTCTGAGGAAAGATTCGACAGTACAAATTATAAACTGTTTTGATTGTATCCTAATCCGAGGAAAAAAGTAATATTGAAAGGACCGTTTATTAAAATAATGATCGATATAGAACGAAGATTTTCAAGCTCGGATAATTATTCCACGTATGTTCTGCGAACTATATATTTGTTGACTTTCGAATGCAAGTAAATTTTTTAAAGCTAATATTCCATGCAAAAGGGTAGACAATTTCGACGATAAGCAATGAAACGCAAATACAGACAAACGGGCATAATACTTTAATAATGCAAATTAAAGAAATCGACGTTTCTTTGCACGAGTCAATATATGTATGGTTTGTTCGACATCGAGTGTATGTTTTTGCATGGCCGAATGTGTGTGAGTTCGTAATTACCCGCCTGTACTATGTATTATATACCGCACGTACGTTATGAAGTATTTTTTTAATTTGGCAGTATAAGCGTTTTCTCAGCGTGCCGAATTCTCCGACGGTTTACATTTAATCTATGCACTTTTATATGTATATGCGTGCATATAATAAATAAATAAATATATGTGTATATATATATATGCAGTGATATATGTATATATGTATACAACTTGTGAGGGCGCGCGCGCCTCTTCAATGGTACATAGCCACGGATGTATGTGTGGCACATTTGCAATTATCGCGCGCGCACCCGCATAAACATGTGTAAATCCCTTCCCGGCCCTCCTAAATACACTCGCGCGCGCCCGCGCACGCACACACACGTGAAAGTGCAAATTCATGTTATGGAGCAAAACGAGAAAATAATTAAATTTATTCATTGAGTAGCTAAAAAATGTAAAAGACACAGCTGTTCTCCCTTTTTTGTACATTATTATATGGCATGTAAAGTTGATCGAACACTATTACTATATTATTAGATTATATTATAGATATATATTGTAATATTAATTATTATTATACGCAAGATAAAAGAAGTATTTGTTATTAAAAGGCATGCAAGGTCGAAAGCCAGCTTACGTGCGCCGTTTGCGAATGAATGCCACATTAATGTACTTTTTCAGAAAGGTGCGAGAATGAACAAAACAAAAAAACAAAAACAAAAAAAAAACAAAAAAAAAATCGGAAAAAACGTTCAGGATACTAACTACACAGAAAGTTTATAAACTTTTACACAATACCAAGTAATGCTCTTTGCATTTTTGCATTCTTTGCTCGTGAACATTTTGTACTTTTCTAAAAATACACCGTTTGTATGTCAGTTAATTACCGCATTATCCATACTCTCCAATATCTTTTTCTTTTCTTATTTTAAAAGTATATATTATTGAATTTTATTTTTCAATGACAATCAGACATGACTAAGCTCTACATATTCTATTAATTTTGTTAATTGTTTTATTTAGCTCATTAGGTTAAATAATCTTTTGCGTCAGACTTCAAAGGTTTTATTCAAATTTCATTTTGCTCATCAGCATTGATTTCGTATCCGGATTCCGCGCAACTACGTGCTGGCGGTGCCAGTGGGAGTCTGATTGGTGTCGTCGCAATGTTGTCCCAGAGACCAGGAAGTCGAGATCCATCCGAACCATTACACTGCATTCCTGTGCAAAAATGTTTAAATAATGTGGTTTTATTATACCCTTGAGTTTGCCATTTTATTTTACAAAACCGTTCTTCTCATTATTTCCTTCGACATCGAGAAAAACTACAGTCAAGATATTCGTTTTTTTATGTTTTTCTCTATTCCCCTCCCCCACCCCTTAATTTTATTATTAATAATTTTGATTAGTTAATTTAGATATTCTATCCGATTGATGTTCGTATGAAATATTATTTTCGCATTAATTAAAAAGTGAAACGTAATATCACTTTAAAGTGCATGCATTAGTAGTATAATTGACTAGATTCACTTCAAAGCTATAAAATATTAATTGAACAACCATCAATTATTTATATTCAATATATAGTATACATCACTGTTCTGAGCAACTCAACCGAGTCTGAGAAATCAAAATTTCTATATAAAAATGAATTAAAACAAATTAAATTTTACTATTAAATTAAAAGAAATTTTGATTAATACAAATTACATTTTTATTTTTATCTCACACATTGATGTGCTAATTAACAAATTAACAACTATAACATTTATTATATACTTATAAGCAATGTATATATTCTAATTATTTATTAAATAGTTTTAAGCGTGCGCATTAATAGTATAAAATAATTTTGAAAAATTAATCCAATTTTTTCAAAGATTGATCGCATAGAGTGAAAATATTGTTTCGTAAAAATTAAAAGTATATACTGCGATGAAAAGATGTTATTTATTTTGTAGGGGATACACATAGATTTTGGTGAAAATTTACAATTTCAAATTGAATTTAACTTTCAAAATTAACAATCAAGATAAAATTTAATGATTATGAATATAACGTTTTACTATAACTCGGGTTAATTAGCCTTACGTATTTCATTAACAAATTTTATTCCGAATGTTTAATTAACTTGCTATTAATAATTACTCGCAAGCTTTATTGTAAATCGTTAAGAGTACACAACTGGAATTATCGGTTCAGCTAATAATACTACCAGTGATAATTTTATAATCATAACTTTCTAGGAACATATGTTATAATTTATTATAATTGATTTCACAAGATAATGTGAAAATGGGTTGTAAAATTTTTAGAAAATACTTAAAAATAAAAGAAATAATTATAGGTAATTCAGATAAACGTATTTTATAAAGGTAAAATCGAGTAATTCTTATAGATGCATATCTAGTCATCTGAATGAAAAACAAATTATTTTTAATAATAAAATATTTGCTCTTTTATATATATATATATATAACACTACTAACCAATAAATAATATAAATCATATTTCGAAGTACAAATTGTTAAGTATAATTTTTTCTTAATGTTCATCATAAAACTCGCTCAAATAATAAATATATTATTTAATAGAAAAGTTGCTTAAATATTACTCATGAAAAGAAATAAATTATTCTAATAACACGCGGACTATTTTTCGATCGTATTTAAGTTTACCTAAAGGAGCAACTTCGTATAGATCGTGAAGAGCTGCGATTCGAATCTTCGTCCATTCGATACTTTTATAATTATCTGAAATTCCTTTTCCTCTGTTCGTTCCTTGATTTTCCCACTCTCTCAAGTACCGGAAATACGTTCTCAATGCGTCATCGCTTATAGCACTTTTGCAAACCTACAAGAGAATGATTGCATAAAAATACCATTAGGTTATATTGAGCGCAAGTAAGAATGTCTTTTTACATTTAATTAAATAGTTCTTAATATAAATGCCGATTGTCTCGTACTCTTTTAAACATTAACCAAAAAGTAAGAAACAATTTTTAATTAAAAATATAATATACCTCGAGGCGTGAATTCGGATAGTAGTGTATGTAATTTACACACATCTCATCTGAAATTGCAAAGCCTCCGAGAGTGACATTAGCCCTATCCAGCGTTTCGTACGTACAACTCGTTATTAGAGTATCGCCCTAAAACATTATGATAAATTTAGATTGAATGTGCGAGTGATCGATAAAACGTATCGTCTACTCTGCCCGTAAATCAACGATCAATATATTCGTACAGCTATAATACACCCCCCCCCATTGAAATCGCTTATAGAAATTAATTTATAAATTTTGGCAGGTTTTTTTTTATACAGATTTTTTTTTTTTTTTTTTTTTTTTAATGCCCAGTCTTGACTGATTTCTACACGTAATTGGTATTCATACGATAAATAAGGATAATGTCGAAGGATATTAAGCAGTGGTCGTTGACCGTTAATCAGGCTTTGAAAACCGGTAAATCAATAACCGGCAAAACGGTGACGGGTCGTGGCAATAGTCTGATCTCCTGAAAATGCGTGGAGTAGTGGTTATCGTAGTTGAGGAGCGGCAGTTCCTGGCCGTCCCTCGCATGCCGCGTAACCACTCGCTTCCCGGTGAGATGTGTGTGAAGCTGCGAGCCGAAGATCTTGATGCCACTCTGGGGCAGACCCACACCCGTGCATTCGGCGACGCAGTGGCCGGACAGAACGAACGACTCCTGCGAAAATTATCAGTACCATGCGCTTCGTTAATATAGGGTCTATCTGTTCGATAAGCGGGGGCTTCCCTCGATTATGATTTTCCGAAATGCAAGTTGCAATGAAGAGTATACGAATGACAAAAGCTTCGGCGTAGGCTTCGTCGATTAGTGACGATTATCAACGACTTGAGTCTCCCTGTCAGGATCTTTTGTAAAAATAATTTGCCACGATCGATAAATAGAAGTCCTTGGTACTCGTGTCCCAAACTAATAAACTTACAAGGTCAAATTTTATATACTGATTATAGAATTTAGTTAATTAAGTAATACAAATATTCGTAAAATTTAAAGAAAGCTATTTATTCTTTCGGTTTTCCAAAGCATCAATATAATATTTCTGTAATATTACTCTTATTTTTAACTGTATTAATATGATATCAATTCAATTTAATGAGGCAAACAAAAAAAAAAAACAAAAAAAAACAAAAAAAACAAAAAAAAACAAAAAAAAACTGTAAGAAAAGTACGATGGGCTAATAAAGTGAAATAATGGAATAATATGTATGCAATATATCAACTATTGCACTTTGCAAAATTGAATAGAAATAGTTTGAAATTTTGTTGATAAAAAATGCACGATAATTGGTTTTCTACTCCATTGAATACTGAATTAAATAATTGATTTCTATATTATTTATTTTTATATATTTTGTGTTAATTACTTCAATTTCAAATGGTAGTCGAAATTATAAAATACATTTAATTTTATCCCAATTTAACAACAATTAGGTGTACATTATTTTATTCTTATAAAAATGATGCTCTTGAGTGGTAATTACTTTATCTAGTCATGAAATTCATTTTTCTGATCGTCCCGTCCATATTATATATGCGCTTTCAGTATAAGAATTCAATTGAAAATATAGGAACTCCATTATGGGCCATATTCTTTACAAAATACTCTGCTTTAATTAATCGTTTTATTAATTATTAACGCAAACTAACTATATTAAAAAAAAAAAAAAAAAAAAAAATCTGTATTAATTAATCGGCCATTGTGGAATACATTAAAATTCTAAGTGATCTCAAATATTTATAAATACTATAGATTTTGAGAAGCGGGGATGGGGCAACAGAAACGAACGATCAATTTATTTAAATCAATTGAATGCGCTATAGTTTATACTTATTATCGGTCGATGTAAAAATTGAATTCTCATCAATGTATTATTTAGCTAATGCATGAAATATTAAAAATACATTATTGCATGCTTGTAGTTCGAGATTGAACATAATTTGTCGATCAAAATTTCTTATTAACAAATTCATGCCAACTATTCAGCTTATGTGCATACATATTATGCAAATAATATTACTCGTATCGATTGTATTCATCAAGATGGCAATCACCACATTCTTAGAAGTTAATGATTTTACAAAATTAATTTTATCATAATTAATCGAGCTTACTAATGATGAAATTCTTCAAATATTTGTTCTTCTACTAATTAAATTGATTATTATAACCTATAAATTGATACCAAACAATGTTAAGCAATATTAATTTCGCATCCATTTATATCGTGTAACAAAGCAAGCAATATAATATATTAAATGATAAATATGACTAAAGCATAATATTAATCTTCTATAAATCATTATTATTTTAAACCGCCAAATAATAAATTCAAATTTTTAGTAACACTATCGTAATATGGCTAAGAAATTTGTATAATAACAATAAGACTTATATTATTTATATTAATATTATTTCCTTACCTAACGAACGAGCCTTCCAGGGTAAATATATTTAAGTAAAATAAATAAATGTACGTTTCCACACTGTCAAATAAAAATGCATGCATTTGTGCATCTGAAAATTTCAAATTATCCGTTAAATCATCTGAATTATGAATTCTTTCTCTTTCTTTAGGACTATACTATAAATCTTTAATTTGCGGATAAACAAAGCCCTAATTGCTATAAGGAAGATAAAAAATTATTAATACAATCTTAATGCGATTAATAAGAAAACAACGAAGACGTAAGTTTAAAGTAAAATTTCAAATGCAAATAAAATTACTACATTCAAATTCCATGTCGCATATCTGATTTTCATTCTCATCGACTACCCCCCCCTCTCATCCCCCTCCCCTCCCCACCAAATACCAACCCTCTCCAGCCTCAAATCAGGCGACATGATATAAAAGAAATAGAAATGACGCAGAGTCAGATTAAGATAAACGTATTAAGATAATGACCTGTCCGGGTGGAATGGCCATTTTATCGGTGTACTCGAGGCCCAACTCGATAACCCCCGCATCGTACTTCCTGAGACTCTCGGTGATTACGAAGCGCAGGCCAGATGAGTCGACGACGTCCGCCTGAAGCTCAGGGTTATTATAGTGAATCTCGAGCATCACGTGCCGGTTGAACTCCTCACCACCGATCGGCAAGCCCGCTTCCTCCGGGTACACGAAGGCGTCCGCGCCCATCGCCCATGCAGCCAACACTTTTTTGCAAACCTGCGCGAAGAGAGCACACGCGCGCAAACGGTTTATGATTATGAAAGATTAGGAGCTGCTTTCTCTGGTTGTGTTTGCTTGAGCAGTAACTGTCTTAAAATATTTCACCATGTTCTCTAACTTTGGAGTGAAAGCTCGAATATACTGTTGTTAAAAAATAATCGACATCGTGGCTCATATACGGCGCTCTCTGTGCTTTTAAAGTATTTTAATGAAATAGAAGATTACTAATGATGAAGGACGCTTAGGAACGGTGAGTGTTGTGATCTTACACGGTGGTCAAAATTATTATAAAAATATACGTGCCGCTTGTTTGATTTAAGCTTTATGTAATAATTAAAGAAGCTCGATATTGTGTATTTAAGAATGTGTGACGCATATATTTATAATAATTATTCAATGATTAATAAAAAAAATTATGGTCTTAATGGAATAAAATTGTTTTGTTGTGTAATTTGTATGTGTAATTTTGTTAATCATTATTAAAAGTATTTGATTGAGAATATACGTGATTTAACAATTAATTTCAATATCGTAAAGAATAAGTTTATCCATTCTCAAGATAATTTGCTTAAATATCTGCATATTGTATTAAATGCATAAATGTAATTGTCATTTTTTAAAAAATCTACGAGTTTACGAATACGATTATCTAAAAAATAAAAATTGAAACGAAAAATTGTCAAAATTATACAATTCTTAATAAAACAATAGATCATTATCAAAGACTAATATTGTACTTTTACATATCATAGACATTGGATTTGAGCTTCTCTCGACTAAATTGTCAATGCGAGTAAATAATAAAGCAATTAATACTTATTAAATTAAATTATTTTCTTGGCTGTAATATTAAAATGATATTAAAAAGTCAATGATAGTGCATGTTTGGAACAATAACGTTGGAAAGTATTATCAATATATTCATAAAAAATTTTATTTTATATGTATATGCGCATACAAATGATAAGTTTCTTTTATTGCATTGTGTATAATAAGCCTACACAGTAAAATATTGTAAGGTATAATTGAAAAAAAAGAGAAAAAATAAACAGCAACAATTACAACAAGAACAACAACGACGATAAATAACTGAATCAATATTGGATAATTAGCTAAGGGTTACGAGAAGGATGTAATGGTACGTAAATCTAGTTAAAATTAATAACCTTAAAACAAAATAAATAAATAAAAAAAGAAAAAACCAATATATGAGGAAAACATATATATTTCATTGGTTTGCCTTTACTAACCAACCGACCTGAGTTCGTTCTGGTCGAGTGGATGCGTCGCAAGGTCCATTATACATGGGTATTTCCAAATTAGCGGGCCCGATGCAATGGAATATCTCCATGTGGTGGACCAAATGTTCGTTGCCCTGCTGAATCACCGGTGCGAACTGGAGGACGTGATGCCTATCGTCGAGAGAAACGAGGCAGCGTGAGCATCGAGTCGCTCCTTAAAGTTCCTTAAAGCGATGGCGGGAAGTTGGTAGGATGGGATTAAGGATGGGCAAGGAGCTACGGTTGGACGATTATACGAGGCAACGGCTCCGCGGAGCTTACTTTCTTTTTAGCTTCGAGGGCAGCTTGTGGACGCGACACCAGTAGGTCGTCTCGGCGTTTGGTACCTGAACGCGCTCCGCCCTGACCTCGTACTGCCAGGTGTCCGGAGGGTAGTGGAGCCTCGGCCGCGGGAGCCGCAGCATCTCCGTCCGGGACATGCCCGAGGACTTGGCATTGCCGACCCGCAGTCCGGCCAGGGAACTCAGGGGCCCGGCTCCCTTCAGCCATACCAAGTGGGTTGTACCCCTCTGCGGACAGTCGAACCAGGTCGGTCGGTCCTCGGGAATATCACTGCTCGGAATGATCGGAGCAATCCTTGGCCATTGGCTTAACTATTTCAGCTGCCGTCGTGTTTCAATTAAAAATCCAAAGATATCGCGTCTGTCATTGCGCATCGTTGTCTTTATAAATTGTTGTACCAGTTCTCGATCGAAAGTGCGCTATAAATCTCTTAAGCTTGTATTTCGCGCTCATTCGGACGTCGTGCAGAGCTTGTAAAATTGAATTTTTCATTTACTTGTCGTTATCGTGGATCAAACTCCCAAACTAATCTCATATAGATATTTAAAGGGATTATCGATATACAAATAAAATTTCTTTTATCTACAAATGACTCTGTATTCAAGCAATACGGATTTAGCGTACCAATGGCCTAACGCATATAGGGGATATTCGTGTACGTTATTACAATTACCACAAGTCCATACCTCAATAATGTAATCGTGGTCATCGCAAGTATCGAATTGTCTCGTAAATGTAAACTTGGTTACGTTTCCACGCTTTTTCCATTCGAAATTTGTGCAATCTTGATGCTCGTCGAGATTCAAATTTCCATCATCGTCGCTCCAAGCATCCTTGAACGATACAAAATACCCGCATCATATATATATATATATATACATATATAATTCCCAAGCTAAATATTATACATCACACTCACGGTCCGTGATGAATTTTAGACGAGGAAAAACAATGAATGTCAAACAATAAAATACCAATCGATAAATATATTTATCGATGTTTTGTACGATTAGAAAATCAAAGTAAAATTAAATGACCAAGTCTGTCGAAGATATAATAGCCACGCAGTAGCGATAAATTTACGCAATTTATTGGCAGAACGAAAGATTGCACTTCACCGAAAGCGTTGAAATGCTAAGATAAGAAGTACCTGCAGATGAGTTTCACGATGCCAGTTTGTCCAGAATATACAATAATCCGCGGGCCGTAGTTTCCCGTAATCCGAAAAACCCACGGCGAACCAAGAATTCTCTTCGCCGGTGTAGTGCACTTCCGCTATAATTCGTTCGCTCGCCAACGCCACCCTACGTGGGAATACGAAAAATACCATTTAAATATCCTGGCTGTGGTTAAGTGGTCGCGGCACATAAACATCCCAATCAGTCGATTAAGCGAATCGCCGGCCATGACGCAACGGCAATCGATGTACTCGCTCTCTTACGCGAGAGTAAACCCTCAGGGTGTAAGGTAAGGGGATCACCTCCAATGCAGACTGGCCTCGGAGCCGAGAGGTAGCGCGTGCACATCGTCGGGACCGGATGCGAGAGCCCAGCTCGTGGCCACGAGCGCCAACCCCACGAACAGCAGCTTCATACCGACTGCGGCCGCGGATGCGATAGCATCCCCGTCGTGGCTTAAGCGCCACCGCAACACCCCTCCGTCTTCCGGGGCGTTGCGCGCGACTCACTCGCATTCTTTGCCGAAACTCGGTATCTTATCTCTTCGTCATCGATCACTTGGACATCGGGACCGCTCGATTTAAAATTGTTTCGCCCGTTCGATTATTAATTTCAGCGCTTTCTTAGGATCGCGAGATCCTATGCTTTGCGTGCGGGAAGGGGGAGTGGAAAGGGGATCAGCGATCGTGGTCGATTACGGTCATTTAGAGCAGTCTTTTGCTAACTCTACGGTTCATTAATTTTGGCAGAGTGGCTAAAAAGCGTTTTAATCGAGACGCGATGTCATGATAAAAAATTGCCTTGGGTAAAATTGACTAATAAACTTTACTTGCTGACTGATCTATTTTTGGCTTGGTTTTTTGTTTTTTGTTCTTTGTTTTTTGAAATGACGTCTGATGCATTTAATTAAAATTTTTATTTTATTATTTTACATTATTTATGCGATATGCGTTTAATTAAATACTTACAACGCGTATGCATGCAATACATACGGATTTGAGACATGACGTTGCTTGCAGGGGATGCAAATTGGCGGGAAAATAGGAAATTTTGTAGTTAGTTGTAGGGAGAAAAGCAGATGAAGTTAAGCATCCTACAAAGCGAGATAAGATCTTGTTATTAAAAGCCATTGAATGCAAATGAATTATATATACGTATAGTTTAAAAATTCTAATATTCTTTACCAAGACCATATTGTTGCTAGCGCCAAGAGTAAAAACAGGCGCAAGATTAGATTAAGGTTTAGAGAGAGAGAGAGAGAGAGAGAGAGAGAGAGAGATGCCCGTTTAAATGAGTCATGTGCGTCATTGACGCGCATGGCCGTGAGATATTCCACAATATTGGATGGTCTAGTTGAAAAATGGCGCACGCGATTATGGATCCTCTTGGAGCTTGGAGGAATGCGCTCTCGCGGACGGATGAGTAATTGTCATATTGCATTCCATAGGAGGCGCGCGTCTCGCAATATAAGTCGTAGCCGAGAAATTCCAGAGATCTTATATCGCCCACGACGTGCTTTACATTTAATGAAAGTAGGACCGTGCTTGACTCCGTTCCATCTCCCCCCCCCCAGTTCCCTTCCCAGCCCATTACCTCTCTCACTCCCGTCGATATCTCCTATCCTTTGGGATTTTTTCCAAGTAAGCGCTATGGTCGTCGATGAATTTACTGGCAAATAATCGACAAACTAATGAAATTTGCTATATCTTCAATTTTCCATTTGCCAATTCTTAGTATAATGTGGCAGAACTGGTTACCGATACCTGTGATAAGGAAAAACTCATTAAAAGTTAATTAACAGTAGTTAATTATGTAGCAACGTCGTCGTAATATCTCATTGCAAATATCGATCATTAATGAAAATGAGTTTATTAGCGGTTGGACAATAATTTAATCCTTTAAAAATCCATTACAAATTAATTACTTTGTAAAATTGTAAAATCTTCCTTAATTTAAACTTTAAATGAGCTTCTAGTATAGCTGCAATAATTGATTTTGTTTAATTATCCATGAGAAGCATATACTATATTAACATAACAGTCGAGGCTTTAAAAATTTTAAGGACTTTATTTACCATTGATCTCAATTGACTTATACGCTTATCCTGGCAAATGCTGACCTTTAATGCTAGTTAGAACGAGCCAACGATAACTATTGTAAACAATATCGAATTAATGATGATAATGAGATGAGTGTACGAAGAAAGAAATTGTAAGAATCGCAGAGTCTTCCCACCATTCTTACGTTCGAAGATAATTCTTTTATTCACGAGCAGGGAAAGCAGGGACGAAATCCGTTGCGCTATTACACATATTAAGAGAAAATGCAAATGTGCAAGCCCAGACATGTCTCGGTTCCACGTAGAACACTATACCAGTTTGCTGCTGCATGTTTAATTGAACCGGCTCGGCAACCCCAACTCTCTCTTGGTCCATCTACCTCTTTCTTTTCGTTGTAAAATATTATTCTCGCCCATCGAGCACTTTCTTTAATGTTATAAATGTACGTATTATTTTATTTCCCTATCTGTATGTCTGTATTGATTGAGTAACTCAGATTCGATTAATGTTTACTCTTATTTGGCCATTCCCAGTGACTTATAATCTTACAACATTTAAATTCAAAATAAAAAACACGTCTACGTTAGATTTATATATGATTACACTGTAGCCCATAACGTAACTTTTTACATATGTATTTGTAATCAAATTGTTACAAGTTAAATGCATTTTATTTGGGCATTATAAAATAGGCTGAAGTCAGCATAACAAATTTTATAATATTTTTCCAAATCTTTTGTTTTTATGTGTGTTTATTCTTTTTTACAAATCAAACAACAATTATTGCAATAATACAATTATTACGTAGAATATTTGTTATTTAAAATCAATACTGTATACAAATAAAGTCCCATGTAATAATAATGATATTATTATTACTATTATTATTATTATTATTATTATTATTATTATTACTATCGTTTAAAGTGACATCTATTACTTTATAAGTTTATCAGATTTATTTTTATATAGTTTGGTAATTATTTGCGTAGATAATGTATAATTCAAAGACTAATAAAGTGAGTTTTTTTTTTTTTTTTTTTTTTTTTTTTTTTTTTTTTTAAATGAATACGGTTATTATATAATAAATTTACTCTTAATTTTAAAGGCTCTTATATTGAATAAAAGTTAAACGATGAAATCCTGAAAATTTAAACATGTAGTACTAATATTATTTTATAATATCGAACCGTCGAATTATTCTAATACTGGTATAACAATCCTATGAAAATTAAATAATTAAATAATGTGTAAATCTAATTTATATAAATTAATCTTAAATTCAACTGATTTGTCGTTATCGTCCATTTCTTCTGCACAATAAACAAGGACAATAGCATCGTGCGTCATGTAAAAAATAGCGATCCCTTTAAGTGTATCATAATTCTAATATAAAATGGGTCAAAGAGACTGAGATCAAATATTCCTAAAGGACTATCTATCGTCCTCCCCGCACGTCCAACTTGTTCCAGAATGCAGTGATGAGTCGTCAGGATTGCCACGAATGTTTCTCACTCAGCACCTCGCCCAATTACCGTAGTCGGCATTTTCAATTTTTTTCCGAGCGATCCTGAATTCGACGACATATACGAGGCATTTTGATGTCATGAGGAGTTAATCACGTGAAGTGAAAAAGATCAAACATCGAAGCGCAATTAATCGTTGATTAATTGTTCTGCTATTTTCAATGAATGCAATTATATTTATTGGTCCATAATGTTTATGCTTTATGTCTTTTTTCATTTTTAATTATAATTAAATATCGAGGCGCTGCATTTGTATTCCAGATTTGCGTAAAAACTAGAATAAATAATGACGCATATCAAAATAATTCTCTAATCGATGAGAATTTATATGCCATTATGCTTATATACATACATGCGTGTGTGCGCGCGTGTGCGCGCGCGTGTTGTCTGTGTGTGTAAGTTGATAATAACTAGTCGATTGAATCAAGACAAGTTTAAATTAAAGTATAGTATGCCCAATAGCGTCAGAAGTCTAGATTGAAACTAATTGAAAACTTTAAAAACTTAACATTCCATGAAATCCAGTGTCTTTCCACGCGATTAGATATTAAATTTTTTTTATTTAATTATTTTAATAACTCTTATATCGTGATATTATTTAAGAACTTTAACAACGACTTATTTTCTATGGTTTTCTGTAAGATTTTTTCTATTTACTGACAAGGAAATTGATATTTGAAAATCTTGACAAACATTGTTTTCAAATATTCTTTATTATAATCTTTCGACGTCATTTTAAGTGGCCAAATAAAGCTAATCACAGGTTAAACATATAGGCATTGTAATTTACATGTTTTCCTTGTAATATCCAATGCTAAGCTACTTTGGTCTGAAGTAACTTAATAAACTTTTATTGAATTCCAATTTTTAATTCACAAATTCTTAAATATTCATTATCTCTCTTCGTTTAATAGAATTACACACGCACTGGAATAAATTCTTGATAATTAATTTAATAATTATTATTATGTTGATTTTATAGACTAAATTATAGAACGGAAAAGCATAAATAATTTATTCAGTTTACAGAACAAATCGTTAAATCATATATCGAACACTTTGTTGAATAACTGAACAATCGGGACATGTGCCGTCGCGAAATTATATAAGTTTTTAAATATATAAAACCAATTTATTTTTAGTCGCAATAGCATCAGCATCACTAAAACGTAGAATCATTCAAATTCACATCTGCTAACACATGACTCATTTAGATCATTGGATGTAATTTAAACATAACGAAAGAATAAAAGGCGCATTACCTGCACGCCACGGATTTGCAATAATTTTCGTGTGACCATAACATATAGCAGTACAGGGGGACTAACAAAGCCAATTGCCTTCGTTATTTAAACGATCTCAATTAATATATAAACTGGAAAAATCAGTTGGGTTTCCCTTGGAAAAAGCTCGGTGTCCCATCTACAAAAGGTGTTAGTCTGCGCGAATTAATGTGTGTCGGCGCCAGTGGCTCGTCGACTGACGCCACCAAAAAACAAGCAAAGAGAGATTAAAAAAAAAATCGCAAAGCGCGTGCTCACGCTTTAGCAAGAACAAGCGAGGACACGTGCTTGTAGCAGCATCTTTCCTCCCGCGAGTCTCCGGTCCTCTAAGGACGTCGAGTTTGAACGCGCTAATGATCGATCCTGATCGCTTGTCTCGTATTTTCCACCTCGTCGAGCGAGAATGCGCTCGAGGACGCGCACTCGAGAGGAAATCTTCCGTGCACTCGTATCCAGTAAATGTAAATCCGGGTAATCGTATGTGCGATGACGTCTTACCGTGTCCGCGATTTCCGATCCTTTCATTAGGGATACTTGGAGAGAAGC